GCCCTACCACACAGCTCAGCCTTACCAACAGAGGCATGGTATAATATGCACCGTAAGCAGCAAATGCAACCAGATCCTCCTTTCGTTTTCGAACCCTTACAGGGATTCTTGTTCGGACTTTTTTGATATCTCAGTTTTTAATCATCCGTTTTGGCCCCCGCTAAGTTCATCGGTTACGAGTCATAGCGTTGAGTCTTCCATCTCAGCCTGATTTCTGAAACGCCAACCGCCTTTTATTCACCTGTCTTTTGCACCATAACTTCTTTCATTATAGTCTTTTTCTTCTTCTTTTTCGTTGCAAAGGTCGTCTGCAGGACCGTCAAGGCATAATGGCGGTCCATAAAGACAAAGACACCGCGGAAGCGCAGTTTGCGCAAATCCTGGACGATGCTAGCAAGCTGTACTCCTCCGACTCCAAAGACAAACTCGGCGATTTTCTTGACCCTCCTATAAACAACGTCACAGACCTAATCAAACAGGTCGACAAGCAGAATGATCAGTTTACTAAATTCCGCGAGAAGCGGCAGTCGATCTTTAGCGCTATGGCGGCTTGCCTTACTCCCGTTGAAGTCATCGGTGAGATCGTGAGTGGTGCTGCAGCAGACTCATTTGCGCCAGCGGAGGGAATCTTTGGCGCTGTTGCGTATCTCATTGGAGCAGCGAGAGATGTTTCCTCAGCTTATGATACGATCGTTGAGCTATTTGAACATTTGAAGGTGAGTGATATTGATCAACCCCGCTTGAGGCTTTACTGACAATTGTAGGACTTCACATCACGCCTAGATGTTTATGTTCAGTATAAAATGGGCACTGCACTGCGAAACAAGGTCGTCACGATTCTTGCCCAACTATTTGAAGTGTTTGTCTTGGCTGCCAAGGAGGTTCGTCGCGGTCGCTTCAAGGCATACTTCCGTACAGTGTTCGGCAAAGGGACGCCCGTGCAGGAAGCCCTCGATAAGCTAAAGGCACTTAACATTGGTGAAGAGAGGCAGGTTCTTGCAGATACTTACGGAGGTGTAAACAAGCTCAATCTCACAACGGAGAACATGCAGAGCAAGCTTGAGGAGATGAACCAGACAATGATGCAGATGAGGTCTGAAGGCCGTGAGCGTACTATCGCGGCGCATCAGGATAAACTCAAGGAGATTCTAGACCCTTCGCCGTTTCCTGAGGACTTCTTTGCTATGTTTAACAAGTCACGCGCGGAATCGACCGGAGATTGGATCCTTACGGATGGAGGGTTCAAGGCATGGCTTGACAGGAAGACCAACTTCCTCTGGATTACAGGTGCAGCCGGTAAGTGTCGCTGACCTCAGTTTCTGAACGTCAACTAACATTCTCGCAGGAACTGGCAAATCGTACTTGACCACTAGACTTGTTTCTTGGGGAACAGAGCATATTTCGCGAGTTGCGTACTTCTACTTCAGAGACAACAATCCCGAGACTCGTTCAGTTCTCCAAGCTCTCCGTGATCTCGCCTACCAACTAAGCGAAAGCGATCCCTTTTATGCCAAGCAGCTTCTCAAGAATCTTCGCAGCATCGATGAAATCCGCACCATCCCCAGCGCCTACCGAAAACTCTTTGTCCAACCGTTCCAGCAAGAAGAACAACAGAAAGCGATTTACATCTTCCTCGATGGTATCGATGAGGCGGATTCTGCTGAAGTCGAGGAACTACTCCAGCAAATGGGTTCGGATGATGAGTCTGACAAGAGACCGAAACATGTCACGCTCCAAGTTGCTCTCATTGGAAGGACGTACATGACCGAGACTGTTACGTATACTCTCGATCCAGGAAATAGGGGAACGCAAGTCATCACAACCCTTCACGTCACGCCCGATCGTAACGCCGAGGATGTCAAGCTATACATCGAGAATAGCGTTTGGCACCTTCGTAACCTGAGCCGCACACCTCCCGATTTTCGACAAAAGATCATTGACGCCATGATCAAGCAAGCCGACGGTCTCTTCATTCTCGCAAAGTTCATGCTAGAGGACATTAGTCGCAAGCGACATCCTCAGAGCATCCTCACTAGTCTGAAGTCATATCCCAAGGAGATCAACGGTATCATTGGACAAACACTTAAGAACCTTTCGGAGACACTATACGAAGATCAGACGAGAGACTTGAACGAAATGCTCCAGTGGGTCGCGTGCGCGGAAGAAGTTCTATCGCTCGAGCAGTTAGAAGCAGTCCTTATTATGCGCTTCGGCGATCCTCCTTTCCACCTCGAAGAAACCCTGCGCGGTCAATACGCATGCTTCTTTGAACTCGAGCGCGAAGACGGATTAACGACTGACGATCTCATTCGAGAGCATGAGAAGCAACAGCGCATTAAGAACGGCGACCTCGGCTCCGGAAGGCGTTCAAGTTCAGCGAGTCGTCCAGGATCAGGACGAAGTGGGAGTCCCAAGAGCCCAACAGTTTTCGGTCGAAGCCCCGATCTTGGTCGAAACTTATCTCCTTTACGTCGCACGAGCCCGATTCAGGCTTTGGGTCCTGGACGAGTAAGTCCCGGCCGCAGCGTGAGTCCAGCTGCCAATTCTGATCTCTTCGATCCGATGAGTGAGATGGACTTTCGATCAAGCAAGACGAACACGTGGATAACTTTCTTCCACTCTTCCGTCAAGGAATTCTTTGGTACCCAAAACTCTTCAAAGCTTGGTGCAGGCATTGGGTTTGATCCTCTGATTTCTCGCATTCACATCCTGCGAACATGTCTCTCCATCTTCACCAACAAAGCCGCCTTCGATAAATACCGGCTCAGCGCCAGTGGTCGAGAGTCCATGAAGCAGTACGCTGCGTGGTATTGGCAGGAGCATTTAGCTGTCCTCGATCCTGCAACAGTGCCTGCGCCTCAGAAGAAAGAGCTTGGAGAGTATGTGCACAAGATGCTCACTGATGAGAATACCATTCTCGACTGGACTCTTATGTATGAGAAGAATGACGAGGGTCTTGACGTCCTTACAGATGCCAACATGAAGGGTCTTAAGCGATGGATGGGCGATCCCGATGTCCAATCCTCTCTCAGTCCTGAAGCTCGAGAATGGGCCAGCAAAGGCGTCAAGGAATCCCCTGGTATCTTCAAGCCCATCGGAGACCTTTACGCTCGAGCGTGGCTCTCAGAAGACTTCAAGAAATACATCCCCACCCTCTTCTGCTTCAAGATTGTCCAGTCCATCGCATTCATGCAAGAAGGCTACTCCTGGTCTGACTGCAACACCCACTGGACCGAAATCCCTGTCGAGAACCGAATCGTCAAAGCAGCAGAATGGGCAAAGATCCCAGAAAGTGCCCACTGGCATCGTCGCTTCGGAAGCACATACCTCACGAATGACATGCACAGCAAGGCGCTGGGACATTACGATAAGGCTCTGGCTCTCGACAATAACAGTGTGGAGACACGTGGTCGTATCGCGTACTGTCTTTCGCGTGACGGTCGCTTCAAAGAGGCTTTGGAGCAAACTCTCAAGTGTGAAGCAATTGAAGAAGAGAGTATCGCCAGTGGCAAGCTTGATGAGCAAGCTTTGAGGAGCTGCAAATGGCGTTTATATAAGGATCACATTCTCATAGCCACTTGCTACGAGGAACTCCATAAAGTCGACCAAGCACTCGAATACTTCCTCAAGGCGATGAAGAGCGCCAAAGTGGTCGGTCTTGATCGCAAAGAATGCAAGGAATATTTTGAGCCTGAACTTGGGTATCTCGAGCTAGTGGCAACTGAGAACCGCCATGAAGCTGTCATTCAGTTCCTCAAACAACTCTCCGAAGAGGTCACTGACGCAGAACACAAGCGTACAAGACTCGTTGACTTTTTGCTCGAGTTCCATAACAAACCTCTTGTCATAGACTGGATCCCCAAGGCAGCCAGCAAAGTCGGTGAAACGGACTTCATCTACGAGTCTCTACTCTTCACGATTGAGGTTGCAACCGCAACTCGCGATCCCCTCAAGGCGCTATATCTTCGTCTCGCACTTGGCGCAACGTACACGTATAGTCGCGATATTGAATCTGCGCTGGATTTATTCGAGGGTGTAACACAACTTGGATACCGACCTCGTGGTAATGTCCCTACACGACAGGCTTATGCTCTCGCATTCCAGAAGCTTGCCTCCCTGTACAAAGAGCGTATTCTTCATGCCGGACTCAAGACGCCCGAAGCAGACACTTGGCTTGAGGATCTTGAGAAGATCAAGCAGAAGCAAAGCCGGCATCAGAATCATGACATGCCGATCGAGATGGTTGGTTCAGACGTCAACATCGCAGCCATCTACATGATCCTCTTCAACCGTCTTCTCGGTCGAAGTTCGTCAACAGACCGCGATCTTCGGCAGCTGATCAACGACAGTCTCGATATTCTCTCTGACGATGATGTCCAAAACGACGAATACGCCCTGGATAACCTCCTCGGCCTCTTCATCGCCGCCGATGACATCGAAAACGCTCTCGCCCTTAGTCAATCCATGCGCAAAGTCGATCCCAAGATCTTCACCTCTACTCCAGAAGACTCGCCCGTTCTTTCACGCATTGAGCCCAAACTTCCCGAGATTCAGACGATGCGTCAAAACTGCGCCCAATGTCTAGATCTAATCCCTCCTTCAGATGAGTACTACATCTGCGAGTACTGCATGGAGACGTATGATGCAAAGTGTATGGCTGTTATCAAGGGCGAGGGGAACAAGACGAGCGATCATAGGGATGACCTGATCTGTAGGAGCGATCATCAGTGGTTTACTGTGCCCCCGTTGGGAAGAGTGTTGCACAGGGGAGAGATATTGTTGGTCAATGGCAAGGTGGCGAGTTTCAACGAGTGGAAGGCTGGGTTGGAGCAGAAATGGGGGCGGAAGAAGTAGATGGAATGGGCATCAGTACCTGGCTATGGGAAATGAAGCATCAGTGGAGTTGGTCAGCATCTAGATGAAATGTTACTGCAATTGCAAAGTTATCATAGGAAAATACATAAGCTTCTACTCGCAATGAACATGCTCAGGAGCCTGTATCAGGTTCGAGACGTCTCACTTCCTTCCTCCATTTCCAAGTACTGCGATTCAAGATGCTTTATAACAGCTTCCGGGTTCGGTAGGGAATCCTTGGCGCGACATGCGTTGCCTTGTTTGATGTAGGCTGTCCTGAAGGAGGACCATACTGGATCACCTAATTGGTTGTAGGATTCCGGCGGTGATGGAAGCACTCCTATAAGCTCGTCTAAGCACATAGAGATCGTCTCCACGGTCATGTCTTCTGCTTCTAGAAGTTGGTGAAAGGAAGGAATGTGTATGCCAATCTCAAGGGGCCCGAATTTCCAAGCTTCATAGGCCGGGGAAGCACCAAGGACAATGCACGCACGCATAGCCCAAGGCCTCGCATTTGAACTGAAGTATAGCAACCACTCGCCCATTGAGACTGCTATTTTCGTAACGTCGATGCCCGCATCCTCCATCATATCCTCCGTGATTCGTATGTCTTTCAGCCGAAATTCTTTGGTGCACATCTGAGTGTCGAACAAATGGAGTGGTGGCATGCATTCGAGGTTATATCCACGGTGAAGAAGTTCCTGGCTAACAAATGGATCCATTGGTTTGCGGCCCCTTGGGTGATAATGGTTTGTAAGAGCTCGTCGTACGATCTGAGGCAACGAATGAACCTTGTCGACTGTTGTGCCTGGTGAGGGAGGCACTTGATGATCTTGGCAGAATCTTTTCTAGTCGGAAAAGAATTGTATGTTGGTAGGAGCTTTGACTCTGAAGTCATATTGGAAGTTGTGTTCACCAATGGCCCTCGCGATCTTTTCTTAAAAGGTGTGCGGCTTCGTACAACGTGAATTTGGCTGTCGAGATCAGAAAACGGAGTCTTTACCAGGTCGACAATAGTGTTCTCCCCAGTCAGCTCCAACCTTTTAAACTCATCGGTGTCTGAAACGTGCTTAACCTTCTGACCACATCCATGAAGATGGCGACCGTTAATAATATGGCACGCGGGAGGATACGGGGGTATGATGACACCTAGGCGCATGAAAGTGGCGAGTGCATCCAAGGGCGAGAGCTCACCTTCAAGGCGATCGATCTCTCCTTGGGAGTATTGCTTTTGGGGTTCATCTAGTTCCGCTTGGGCGGTCTCAGGAGAATCCAGCATCTTGATGGACAGAGTCTCTGGCATGATGAAGACGGGGTGATATGAGTTGAAGTGCGTTACAACAGCCAAATCTGAGGAGTGCGGCAACGGTATATTTGTACCCGAGTTTAAATTTCTAAGTTATAGAACCATTGCCCTACCTCCGTGGAGGATTGGTCTCATTCATACCGACTTTCTGAGCTCTGGTTAAATGGGCTATTGGCAAACAACATGAGTGAGATGGGAGGATCACTGCATCTACCGGTTGACCGAGTGCCACATCTGCCTCGTCAGTTTCAGCTCCAAGAATAAATATGACTTATGCCTAAAACCGCTCATGGGAAATCGTGCAAGAATTAAGGTGATGACGGACATGTCTGCCTGTCGATAGAAGTCGACATCAAGTAGACAGACATATCTAGTGCAGTGAACACGGACGCCATATTGTCCAGATGTACAGATTATGTCCTATGGGCAATAAGCTATCTTTTTCTCATACAACAGACACGGCGACACGCCACACGCATGCAAGCCGTAAGCGTTTTTCCGGAATTGCTCATGGCGGTCTCATAAAGAAACAAGATCTGGGCCGTGGTTAGAGCAATGCGTGTATCCGTAGCCTCAAACATGCGCCGAGGTTGAAGTTGACTTGGGCCGTGATATGCCGACTCAGTAGCACCCGACGGGCTGGAACTTAACAACGGCGTGATTTTAGTTTATTATTTCTGAAATGAACTGTAACAATCCGTTTCCTTCTTAGTGCTCGCGATTGGATTCGTACCTAAAATAAGGAGGCACCCGTGGCTGTTTCAACGGATTGCTCCCGGTGCCCAAGCATAAGGTCTGCGGAGTACTCCATAGCCTGCCCACGTCCAGCAGCCAACCGCTGTAATTACACTTACACTACAGCGACATCGGCGCACGTGTAAATTACAACAGCTCCCATCTGTGCCAAAGTGACGAAATCCATCCCGTCCCACGCCCCAAAAAAAGTTCCCATTCCCGTCAACTCCTACATCGTCTGCAGACCATAACCGGGCAGGACAGCAATCATGGCGTCAACAACGCAAACAGGCGAGAAGAAGAAGCAGCCCAGTCCCTTGCGATCCATCATCGCTGGATCGACTGCCGGCGCCATTGAGATTGGTATGCTCACACGACATGACTCTGAAGATGTAGCTAACCAAGCTGCCGTATAGCTATTACCTACCCCGCTGAGTGTACGTTCACTCACCCGTCGAGTCGATGCGGACCTACAATACTGATTTGGTGTAGTTGCAAAGACAAGGTCGCAGTTGAACAGGCGGTTAGCTGAAGGACAGAAGCTCCCTTGGCCGCCTTTCGGCAAGCAGTGGTATGCTGGATGCACCACTCTCATCATTGGCAACGCAGCCAAGGCTGGAATCCGTGAGCTGCTTCCCGAATTTCTGTGTGTCGCATTGACTAACAAGGGCCAGGATTCGTTGCGTTTGATCAGTACAAGGCGCTTCTTGTCGACGAGAATGGCAATCTTTCTGGGCCTCGTACTGTCCTTGCTGGTTTCGGTGCCGGAGTCACAGAGTCATTGCTTGCTGTGACTCCAACTGAGAGTATCAAGACCACTCTGTAAGTTGACTTGTTCCCCCGCAGGGCCCAAGCTTACGATCGCAGTATCGACGACCGCAAGTCCGCTAAGCCCCGAATGCGCGGCTTCCTGCACGCCGTCCCCATCATCGCCCGTGAACGTGGTCTCCGGGGTTTCTTCCAAGGATTCGTCCCCACGACCGCTCGACAGGCTGCCAACAGCGCAACACGCTTCACCGCCTATAACTTCTTCAAGCAAATGGCCGAGTCATACACAGCACCTGGCGAGAAGCTCGGTGCCGTTGGGACTTTTGCAATTGGTGGTTTGGCTGGTTTGATCACTGTATATGTGACGCAACCGCTCGATACTATCAAGACACGCATGCAGAGTATCGAGGCGAAAAAGACATATGGCAACAGCTTCAAGTGCGCAACGACCATCTTCAAGCAGGAGGGTGTTCTGACGTTCTGGAGCGGTGCGCTGCCACGATTGGCGAGGTTGGTGGTTTCTGGAGGATTGGTGTTTACTGCCTATGAGCAGATCCAAGTGTGGTTTAACAAGATAGATCCGGATGAGAAGTACATCTAGACAGAGCTGAGCGATCTAGAGGGCGTTGAATATGGGCACATGAGCAAATACGGGGAATCGCTTTTGATACAATGTACAAGTACAATACAGATACACGTCGGATGCCAATATCCTTCTTTGGGATCCTTTCCTTGCGTTAGGTCGTTTTCTCGTCCATTAATTACTGAAACCGAATCATTCCTGTTAATCGCTTGCCCAATCTCTCCAACCATGACCTGTTCGGCGCTTCGTCAATTTCCCTTACTAGATCCGCAAAGTATGTTGGTTGACTCTTTGGCTCCAGTAATCTACCCTTGAGCTTGAACTGTATAAGTATTAGCACCGGATTGTGTTCGCAATGTCGTGGTACGTACTCGATCGTTATATCGGTCTTGGAGAAGGAATTGAAGCGCCCGTGCCTTGAGAAGCTCCTCGCGCTCCATCGAGGGCTTGTAGTTCTGGAATCGCTCGGTTACGGCTTTACCTAGGACATCTTGGAGTTGGTGATCGGGACGAAGGGCTTGCTTTGGCCAGCGCGCAAAGACATCGGAGTAGATTTTTTGCTACAAAGAAAGAGTCAATGTTTATTTCTTGTACTTTTTTATCAGGCAATTACTTACAGATAATGATCGCGACATGGTGAATTGTGAAGATGTCGTTGCTGGGGCTGGACCGCTCTGCAACAGAATATCTCGACGTCAACCATCGAGAAATTCCATAAAACAGTGTGCCCGTCACAGTGTTGATCTCTTTTGAAACTGTAATTGAAAAGCATATGATTGGGCCATGCGTACTGTGCCTCAGGCTGCCACGAGACCCTTGAAATGGATTGCCTCATCCATTTCTTCAAACCTGATGAGGACAAGCCCGTGATCTGATTCAATGTGGAGGTGGATCCAACATTACCTGACACAGCCCACTTGCAAGTTCAAGTCAAGAGTCATGCAAAGAATGAATCAAGTTCTTTTTGTCATTCTTCCACGATGTTCCATTAAAGACTTGCAGTCGAGAACAACCCTTTAGATCTGGCTTTGTTGTTGCCCCTGAACTTTGATGAAGGCTGCGAATAAAAAGACACCGTAAGCCAAAGTAGCATCACAGTGCGCCACGGCGTCTCAGTGGGCGGATACTTCGGCGCATCACCCCTGAAGGCCATTCTAGACCATCCCCTGTCGTATTTCACACTGTGCCAATACCGAACCCGAATACAGCCGTCGTCCGCATATCGACTAAGGCGCTCGCCCCAGGCAGGCTTTCTCCTCCCGTCCTGTCGCTGTCTGTTTCGTAATCGTCAAACTTCAAAGTCAACGCAAGCACACCCAAATCCAAAACTAGACCCTTTCGCCGTCGTTCCTTGAAGATCCTCTTTCCTTTTTTTTCCTCCTCGCACTGGTTCGGTCTCTCCTTTTTTCTTTCGTTCCCGAGTCCCTTCAACCTGCTTCTCTTCCTACGACATCGCGTATCTTTTCCTCTTGGTAAGCGGATTCGGGAGGCAGCCCGACACCGCCAGACGATTAGCCCATCATGTCCGGACGATACGAACGAGTGAGTCGCGCAATGAACCGCGGTGTTTGGAATATGCTGACAAGGTCTCAGATTAACGGTCAAGACGAAGAGGACTTTGGCGCCCGAAACAACAACAATAACAACAATCTCTCTCATCCGATCCCCCACTCGCCACCTCCCTCGTTTCACTCCCGATCCTCTTCTCCTCAGCCAACGCGCCAGGTCGATGCTACTCTCGCCGATGCCTTTGACGATGATGACGATAGCGACGATGAGGTCGATGATCGGAGACGATTGATGCGACAGAATTCGACACCATCTATGGAGAATGTCAACACGATACCAACACCTGCTCAACCGGCTGTTCCGGCACCAACGCCGTCCGGTTCAAGGTCAACGAGAATTGTAGGAGGTGGCTCTGGATCAGATGGTGTTTTTGCCAATTTGTCTGCGCGCCCAGAGAGAGGAAACAGTGATCCTGAGAAAGACGAGTTACCACCGGTATGTTGCCCAGATAAACACATTTGACTATGTGTCACTAACTTTAGTAGTCCTACGAACAAGCCGCAGCCGATGCTGCTCCTCCATATTGGGAGACGACTATTCTCGCTCCCGGCATGGGAGGACCTGACGAGGTTTACATCGACGGCATGCCAGTTGGCTCATTCTTCTCATTTGTCTGGAACGGCATGATCTCAACATCCTTCCAGCTCGTCGGTTTCCTCCTTACATATCTTCTTCACTCAACCCATGCCGCCAAAAACGGTTCTCGCGCTGGTCTCGGTATAACTCTTATTCAATACGGCTTTTATATGAAGGGTGTTTCAGAAGACGAACCCCCGGCGATGAGCGGCCCCGATGGCTACGCCGCACCACCCGACCCCAACTCCCACAACTTCAAGCAAGGCGACGTGACAGACGATGATCTCGGCAGCATTAGCGGAGGCGAGTGGCTAGGATACGTGCTCATGGTAGTCGGCTGGTTCCTTCTTATCAAGAGCGTCGCCGAGTTTCTACGAGCACGACGTCACGAGCAGCTCGTCCTCCAGAGCCCTGATCGCGGTCTTGGTGTGCCGATCATCGCCGAGGGAGAGTCAAACGAACGAGTAGTCTAAATTAGCGGATTTGAATATGTACAACAATACCATTATCTCATGGAAGCGCATCAGTCGAGAGACGTAGGCGTTAACTCTTTTCCTTTTGGCGTTTCTTGGGTGGGTGGATGGGAAGGATATTTTGGTTCCTACTACAAGCTTAGTGTTTGGCGCGGCACACGCAGTTTCATACGTCTCTATATATGTCTCTTAACATGATTTTGGTTGTATTTATGATTGACAGCCTGAGAACCGTAGATGTAAAGGGCTCTTCATAAATAAGAGAAGTATCCTCGCTGTTCTTGTTCTCATTTTATGCTCTTAAGCTAAATTCTCGTAAACCCGATACGAGGGATCAAACCCTCTATTCCCAAATCATCCTCCCCAGTCTACTATCCTGGTAGTGAACGATCTCGTAAATTAAAGCCCCTGTTAGTGAATGTCAGTGGTGATTTGGTCTGTGGGGCTACCCGTCGCCGATCCCCGTATTACGGAACGGCCCCGCACAGGTTTCGGGAGTTCGGGTTGATATGATGATAACATTACAACTCACTCCTGCCTCTCCAGAATCAGTGAAAACATTCCTCAACATCAGTCTTTCATCTTAATATTCCAACCATTTTTGACGTCACTAAGAGTCGCACCGTCATCGTGGCTTTCACCAAGAAATCACTCCATTTCCCCTCTTTTGTCTCTAGCCTCTACAGAAACACCTGTCGACTTACACACCAGAGACTCTTCAGTATCAACATGGCGTGGACATGCAGCGGAGAGACTAACTCAGCTCTTATTGAGAACATGTGGAAGAATGGTCTCATCACCGACCCTCGAGTCAAAGAGGCATTCCTCAAGGTATACTCCCTGTTCCCTTCTCTAGACTCATACTGATCAACCAGGTTGACCGAGCTCACTACGCCCCAGCAATGCCATATGAAGATTCACCCCAGCCCATCGGGTACTCGGCAACTATATCTGCACCCCACATGCACGCCTCAGCCATCGAGCACGTTCTCAGCTATCTTCTCCCCTCATCAACATCTCCAGCCCCTCGGGTCCTCGATGTTGGTTCTGGATCTGGATATCTGACTCATGTCATGGCTGAGCTAGTTGGTGAGAAGGGTCTTGTAGTCGGTCTCGAGCATATTCGTGAGCTGAAAGAACTTGGCGAGACAAATATGTCGAAGAGTGTGGAGGGCAGAAGATTGCTTGAGAGTGGAAAGGTGAGATTTAGATTTGGCGACGGGAGAAAAGGATGGCTCGAGGAACCGAGAGAGGGGGAGAAAGACGAGGGGACAGGCTGGGACGTTATTCATGTCGGAGCCTCTGCGGTGGAGATTCATCCTGAATTGTTGGAGCAATTGAAGGCTCCTGGATGGTAAGTGAGTTTGTGTTTGTGCAAATGAGTGTGCTAACAAGCTATAGTATGTTCATTCCTGTCGATGATGACAAGATGGGGTACAATCAGCACGTTTGGAGAATCGAGAAGGATGGAAATGGGGAAATCACGAAGAAGAAGTTGTTTGGAGTCCGCTACGTGCCGTTGACTGAGGCGCCGAAGGCGTAGGGAGATCATGTCATGATATCCTTCCTGTACTGGCTTTTTTGCTCATTTTTGGGAGATTGTAGCATATTGTCAAAGTTGGTATTTTATAATAAGAATAAGTCAGCCAGCTATCCTTTGCATCCGTTTCCATTCCCGTTTCCGTGTCCATCAAACCATGAATCATGCCCAGCCGTTAACTCCGAAATATGCAAGCGAATGTGTCCATTCTCGTCCTTTTCGCCAGCCACTTCCCTTTCCCTTCCTTCCGCTCATAGGAATCGCAACCCAAAGATCACGGCCGCAATAGCTGATAGTATGCTTGGTGAATACAATCTTGGGCTCTCGCTCACAAGCCCCGGTGCGGCCTTGGTCCCTTTACCAGAAGATCCATTCTGCGTGTCTGTTGTTCCACCCTGGCCACCAGCTCCTCCGCTACCGCTCTGCCCTCCTTGCCCGCTGGAACTGCATCCCCCAGACGGGCAAATCTTGGCAGTCGAGTTTCTAGCAGGCGTGGCGATAGGAGCCGGCGCGACTTTGCATCCTTCGAAAGGACAAGGACTCCCAGCTTTCTTCTGAACTGCTGTAGGAGTAGGAACAAGCGTCGCCTGTCCACAAAGCGTGCAGGGAGTCTGCACCACAGGTGGAATAGTGCCATTCTTCGCACAACCACCATCATAGCCGTCGATCTGGTAAAGACTCAAGACGTCTTGTCCTCCACACTTGCCGCTGGTCTCATCGCCGGCGATACAGAGATCTGTGCAGCGAGATTCATCGACTAAGTCGAAAGATGCAGATGCGCTACCGTTATCGCAGTAACATGTTCCACTACCGATTGCGACAAGGTTACCTTTGGCGGCGCAGGCTTGGAGGCATTGATGGGTTGTGAAAGGCGAGGGCAGAGTTGTTGCTGAGAAGGTTGATGTTTGGGAGATGCAGCCGATGTATTTTGGGGGAGGTTGAGGGAGGGCGACTGCGAAGAAGACCATGGGAAGAAGGATTAATAGATGCATCTTTGTAGTCATCATTGTTGAATTGTGTGAATTGCGGTCTTGATTTCAATATTGTGGTTGTAGTTGTTGTAAGTAGTATGATAATGATGTTTAGCCAAGCGATCCCCAAGTCTTATATACTCTTGTTCCATCCCAGCCTCTTCGCCATCAACTATCCACAGCATTTCCATGATAAGGCTCTTTCAATGACTAACATTCTTTGTCCTCGGGCATAACAGATTGAGAATTACCAAAATATGGAGTTTGACAATTTGCGTTCCAATCTGCGGCAGACAATGTTGGCGTTGTGGCAGGCACCGAGTAGCAGATATGTCTCAGACATCAACACCATAGCCAGGAATGCTTACTTGGGATTGATCAGCTTGCCTTGGCAATCTCAAACTTGTTGAGGGAAGATTTTTCCTGGAGAAAGAGTGAACTGTTCTTCATTGTCATTTGGCCCTTCGTCGCTTGTAACCTGCAATGAAATGAAGGGTTTTACATTTAAGTACCATTCAGTTGACATTCTCAAAGACCACAGGCAGACCCGATACACCGTACGACTGTCTTACAATACTTCCGTGTCTCAAGCATTTTCCTCCTAGCCCTAGCAAGCATACACCGTCGTCCCTTAAACCTTACCAACCACAGCAGCTCATTGCCAGCCTCGTCCTCTAATCCTCGTTCTTCTTACAATTTGGCGTAACAGTAGGAGTTACATACTCCGTCCCACATCCAACAGGACAATCCTCACCGCAAGGGTAGCTGGTCGTAACCGTGGCAGGCGACTCGGGGCATCCGCAAACTGAACTCATCGTCTCCAAGGTCAAACACATCGGCCTAATACAATCAGAACAAATAGTCGCTGTTTCAGTGACAGTAGGACACTTGGGTTTCTTGGTAACAGTTCCATAGGCTGAAGCGTAGGTGTAAGAAGTTGCGCAGCCACTGGGACACTTTGACTTGGAGCAGGGGAATGATGTGCCAGAGGTTGGGACCTTGGAGGGACAGTTTCGCTGGGAGGAAATGGTTTCGATAGTGAGACAGGCGGGGACAACGCAGGTTGTGCAGAGAGTTGCAGTGGTTGTGACGGTTGGGCAGGGCTTGGAGGATTTCTTTGCGATGGTGGGAGAGCTGAGTGTGTTAGTTGGGTGTGTTTGGGTATGGAAGGGAGGGATTACATTGTGAGAAGGGCTGTGAGGAAGTAGAGAGACCACATATTGTCAAGGTAGTCAAGACTATATATAGTGTTTTACTTGGAGAATTGTTAAGAATAAAATATGTTTCTAGCAGTGTTAAGACTCAGCGATATCACAAACCTCTTCCATAAAGCAGCAACATCCTCACCTCTTATACTTAAACCTTCACACCTTCAAAATACCAACATCGTCAGCCCAGACCGAAATACGAGGTTTAGCAAAACCCATCACAATCGCTGCCGACGATCCGGTCTTTGTAGTCCAAACAGAATCCCACTTTCCAAATGAAGGAATGAGGATGACAGCCGGTGATGTAAATGAGGCACGTGGATTGGCTTGGGGGCTGAGAAGATGGCGTAGGAGGACCCTGAAGATCACTCTTGGGTGGACGCATTGAGCGTTGGCATTTATGTGAGGGGAAGGAATACGAGCGATATGATGTTGGGATTGCCAAATTGGGGTCGTAAGTGTTTGGTTTGGGCGAAGCTATATTTAGATGGGTTGTTGCGGTGATGATCATTGTTTTCGAGTATCTCGGTATTCCCTCTGAGGCTTCTGTATGTCAAACTTTGCGTCCTCTACGTGTGTAGTTGTCCGCCGCATAGTTGGGTCTATCAAAACGATGGCAGTAAGACTGAATGAGGCCTTCCATTTGTGGCAGAGGGCAACACAACGTACGCCCTTGCACGTAGAATGAGGAGACCAATACTGCACACAACGAATTCAATGCTTCTGATTGCCATGGTCTATCATGGCCCTTTACAAGAAAACGAAAGCAGCCTTGGGGCAAGTCCTAACCTTACAAAGCCTTTTGGCATATGCCAACGTCTAACGTTCTCACTTCTTCTCCTATTTCTCCCTCTTCCACTCATCCACAACCTTCTGGACAACCTTATCCAGATCCTCATCCTCCAATCCCAACTCCTTCATCGCAAACGCATCTCCCCGCTTCGGCCACTCGGCATCAAGCGCTCCCAACACAAACACAATCTCCTCCATCGCATGGTGGCTATACTCCACCGCCAACTTATTAACCTCCCTCTCTAAGAACGCCTTCGAGTCTACAAACTCCTTCTTCCACTCTACGCCCGTAGCTTTCTCCAGTGCTGCTACAACCTCAAGCTGTGTCTTGCAGAAACTTTGGACGTAGAGAAGACGGTTTTTCGTTGTATCGGGGCGCTTGAGAACGGCTACTAATGCTTCGGCAACGCGGTGGAGTGTCGATGCTGAGGCTGGGACATCGCCCTTGTCGAGGATGACAGCGGTGTTGGTCTCCAGATCGGTGTGTAGCAGACCATCGAGAATACCATAATCGAAGAAATGCCCACAGACAAGCGATGTCCATGAGAAACCAGGGTATTCCTTCGCAAGCTCGACAGCTTTACTCCTTACAGTATCCTTGTCACGGTATAGTTTCAAAAGCTTCTTCGCCTGTTCACTCTGTGCATCACAGCTCCCAAAATCAGCGGGAATGAACCTCTTGACACCAGCTTTCGCAGATGCTTCAGCAAGACGTAAATGCTGGTCAACAACGCCTGTCAAGGGAAATGAAGCGATGACAGCATCTTGCTCTTTCAAGATAGGGATCAAGCCTTCAATGGAAAGGTCATCTGGTATCGTGACGATATTCACGGAGGATGCGTGCGCAGGGGTAGACTTGGACGATGCGCGCTTGGCGACGGAAACGGAGAAGGAGTTCGAGGCCACCAGACCTTCAAGAAGGACCGAGCCTAGATTGCCATTTGCGCCGACGAGGAGGACTTTGTTGATAGACATGATGCGATGACAAGCTGCAGATGGAAAGGGAGATCGGTGAAGATGCTGGGATCAAGCAAAAGAAAAGATACGACACTGCGGGGTAGTTTAGCTATGTAACGCGGGGTACATTTCGCAATTGATCATCTCAGTGATTCAACGCTCTTCTACTCACAAAAAGCAATCTAGACATCGGGATGACGCTCCGACGCGAGAACACGGAAAGTCACCCCGAAAGCGCATCTCTCCCATCGCGGAGGCCTTCCGCCGTCGCACTAGCGCGAAACAATCCAGCACGCAAATATGCCCCTGTGATAACATTCCCAATTAGGTAAATGCACTAGCGAGATCTGCCGGACTTCGGTGTTGATATTCGTATTCTGTTGCTCCGTGTCCGAGTGCGACGCCGGGTCTTAGCGTGCGTATCTCCGGCCGCGAGGTCCCACAAAATAGTCCGAGACGACGCGGGGGGCCGATATGTGTAAGGGGAAGTGATGTCTATGACGGTGAGAGTTGAAGCTGAATGTGCTGATTGGGAGGGGGGATCGTATAATTTACGGATAAGTTTACGGGCTGCAGAAGGAATCAGTGTCGGCAGTATAAATGTAAGTTTATTATACAGATTTGAGATTGGTGATATACGTATTTAGCATAAGAATATCGATCTAGTACCACTTCCCATTGTTGTCGATTCAATGAGAATTACAGCATCCTTTCTATGTACCCATTTCTGTTAAAAAAAAATACATCAGCCAAGTCACTTCATCACTTCATAACTACCTTATCAAACCCTTGAATACATGCATATCCGTCCAGTTTAAACATCAATTCATGTGTCACCCTGGGGCCAATGATCTTGATCTTCTCCCCCATTGGAGATCCTCGCGTGGAAGTGTTGTTAAGTCCGCCCCGTGCATCACCCCATTCGTTACAGTCTCGCTTCATCTCAGCCGTCTTGTCGCACTGGGGTAACTACCTCACATCACACCTGCACCTGTGAATCAGTGGCACGGAGAAAACAATGTGATATATAAAGGCCAACCCCCCTCTTCATTCTATCTCAACTCAAACCTCAACTCATCTCCAACACCAACATCAACATCAACATGATCGACAACAAAGAAATCGTTCTCATCACTGGTGCCAACACTGGCATCGGCTTTGAGACTGTCAAAGCTCTTTTCGCGTCTCCCAAACCTTACCATATTCTACTTGGAAGCCGTGATCCTGCCAAGGGAGAGAAGGCTGTCGCCGAACTAGAGCACGAATGCCCTAGCTCCAAGAGCAGTTTGGACGTTGTTCAAATTGACATCACTGATGATGAAGCTATCGAGAGGCTCTTCGAACATGTGAAGGAAAAGTTTGGAAGACTTGATATTCTTGTTAACAATGCTGGTAAGTTGCTCAACATCTAAATCTAACACTTATGCTAATCTTAACAGGCGCAAACTTTGATGCGTTCAATGATGCCAGCGATCCCAAGAAAGCTCGCGAGCTTTTCAACAAGTCCTACGATGTCAACGTCTCGAGCACACAAGTCATGACTTCGGCTTTCGCTCCTCTCCTCATCGCCTCGAAATCCCCGCGCCTCCTCTTCTTGACCTCCGGCCTTGCGACCCTCGAAGGTGCACACAAGTCATACTTGACCAAGCTCGCGGGCGAGGTTCCCCGGGGCTGGCCCAAGGAGGGAATCCGTACAACTGTGGCTTATCGATCATCCAAGACCGCCCTCAACATGATGATGCTTTCATGGCATCATCTCCTCAAGGGCGATGGTGTCAGAGTCTGGTCAATTAGTCCTGGCTTTCTGGCAACGAGCCTTGGAGGAAAGCCCGAAGTGCTGAAGAAGGCTGGAGCTGGTGATCCAGCAACTGGTGCGGAGCTCATCAAGAACGTTATTGAGGGCAAGAGAGATGAAGATGTCGGAAAGGTTATCGGACAGCCTGAATGGGTTGGGGAGACTGGAATCCAGGCATGGTAGTCCTGTTCTGCTGGGATATCATTACAAACATGACTCGAAATAGCAAGGCCGAGTTAGCAACACTATGAACAATTCGGCGAATTTTCACATTGACGTGTAAATTCTTTCAGTGACAGCAATTAGCAAAGCCACATTGATGATGTATCTATCGTCCACTATCAAAAGTCCCTACCACAGAACAATCATAGCGCTGGTCTTGGTGATCCGAGCGCCCTAAAGAAATGAGATGAAAAAGAAACTTCTGTTCGCTCGCTTGGCACTTTATGCGCTGAGAGTATACGTCATTGCAACTATCCAGCTCAGCCTTTGTGTCATTCGCTGGCAGTTTGTGGAGGGATGTTCCATGTAAGCGGAAGTTGAGTGACGGAGCATTGCACAAGACCATTGTCTAGATGGGGATGGACCCTTGCTGGACATTTGATTAGAATCAGGGTCGAAAGGGTTTATTCTGAGAATAGAATGAAGAGGAATATGGAGGTGGCTTGGATTACGAGAGATGAGGATGACTTAGAGACAGTGTGCCAGAGAGTTGATACAGTATTTAGCTGTAGGCTTTGCGATGTCACAGTGCGAGACTTTCAACTCCCGGAACCCTTTTCGGGCCCGGCATCGCAACCCCTGATCCACAAAGTGACGTCGGCAGTGCCGCGGAGTACGTTGCGTACTCCGGACGCGTCTCCACAGCCTCCGACTTTCTGACTCCAATTCATTGAATACGCCCATCGCCATGAAAGTGCCAGTATCACAAACCAAGCAAAGGCTTGCAAAAGGAAAAATAGCAACAAAAAAGGACAAGAGCAGGCAAACACACTAAAGCCTCGGCGCATGAGGCATCTAGAACATCAAATATGGACCCTGCCAAGGATTCAACAGCTTAAAAAATAGGCGGCCGTTTTTAATATTTACTTGTCAGGCACGGCACGGCGCAGCACAGCCCCCGATGCTGAGCTGACGTTGGGTTTTCGCCCTCAGCTTAGGTTCCCGTTAATGAATAGTAGGCAGTTAATAAATGGGTAGGGGAGTAAAAATGCAAGGCTGATCCTTTTAACCCAAGTACGGAAGGATTGTCTGCGTCTTGTTTCTTCTCTTCACTCGCTCTTCTGCCACGTCGCATCACTCACTCACTGTTACTGTTGCTATACATTGCCCGTTTTACTTATTAGACTTCCGTCTTCTCCTTCGGCCCAACGTAACGCTTAATACCTTAACTCTACTTTACTCGAACCTAATTGATACCCCAGCTTTCTTCTTCTCTTCTTTTCTATTTGCGGATATTCTGCCGGCACTGTCTTTGTCACAGAATAAACGAGGTTGGAGGTGGATTATCTACTTGCTTCGCCAACCTCCCGCTCTCGGGCTTCTTCTCACTTTCTCGCCCCCACGTCCATCATACCTTTTTCAACATACAACATCCAAGAATGGAAGCTCGCTCTCTAACAGCACTAAATAACCTCGCGGGCAATCCGCCTCAATACCCTATCAACCCAGCGCAAGAGAAACAAGACCCTCTAACGCTCTATATCTCCAGAGTACCGGGCACTCGAGGTAAGACAAACACCCCTCTCAACCCCCACCGGGTCTGACACTAACACCGCCTCTGAACCCAGATGTCATTCTATCACCTTTCAAACCACAACTCAAAAACGTTACCGCCGAGGATGTCGCCAGCTGTCTTTACTACGTCCACTTTGAAGCACCGTCGCTAGAACCTGCCGGTCCACCACGAGATGACGAGCACCGGTCTTCGAGCGATGAGAGCTCGTCAATACGGAATATTAAAAGGAAGCCTTTGCCTGGTGGCGCAAGACCATTGACGCCTCCTCCGACCGATCATCTTCCTGTACCTGGCTACGGAAACGAGAACCAGGACCCTACGAGAAGACGGGGCCTTTCAGTCAATTCGACCTTTGATCCTCGACAAACGTCAGCACGACATGATTATGAACAAGAGGAAGAAAGCCCAGTTCTACCACCTCGACCAAAGAATGTCCCCAGAATCCAAACCCCGGAACCTGCTGTAGCCCGGAAACCACTTGGGCCTCGGATGACATCGAACAATGCCTCCGCACTCGGCGACCATCCTCTCCCGCCCCTTCCACCTCCCAACCAGGGAGGTCCCGATTTCGATCGAATGCGTGCAACGAGTCGCCCTCCCCTACCGAATCGAAACACCGAAAACCGCTCTCCCTCGCCCCGAAAAAGCTATGAAGGAAAGCAGCCTTTTACATTAGCTCTAATCCGCCGTGATCCCAGCACTGGAAATCAATGGAACGTTGGACATATTTCGTCTTTCCAGTCTGAAGCACCACCACCTGATCAGGACGACGCGAACCCGCTGTTCGCCTCTGTACCGCCCGTTGCGCAACCGCCAACTTCCGGGAACCCACCCATAAACGTTCAGATCGAGACTCTTGGCTATGGAAAGTTCCGCGGTATGCCTGTGCGACGGAGCTTCGACGCGGGCCCAGGCTCAGATATGACTCAGCCACGGGACGGTGGTATTGTGCTACAGAGACAAATTGCAATGGCTTACGGGAAAAGCTGGGCATCGAACTGGCGAGAGAAACTGCAAGACGGCGCTGGAAAGGGGCATGGGCGACAGGGTAGTGTCGGATCGATCGAATCAACCGAGGCGTCGTCGCCTGTTGAACCTGCGATTTCAATGCATCCCGGTCCAGGACTGAGGCCTCGGGGATACATCTTTACCAGTCCCTGGAACGGAAGGTGTGAATTCCGCACAGGAGCTGCTGGTCGAAGCTTGCGCTGCTATCACATTCTGCATGATGATAGACCAAGCAATCCTCTGGCTGAGTTCAGTCAGGGGCAAATCCAAGGTGGCGGTAGCGGCATGCCGATGAGTGAACTTCGATTCAATCTTCCTACAGCAGAACTCTTCAAATCTGCTGAAGGTCGTGAGGAAGTAAAGACTCAGCTCCAAGGACATTTCAACAAGTTACTAGGCCGCGACGAACGAGGTGATGGTTACGACAACGACGGCATGGTTTCTCCATTCGACATAAATCTTGGAAAGGAGAAAGCCGGCGGTGGCAACCGAGGAAAGAGAGCCAAGCTGGGCAAACTCATCATCTATCCTGATGGACTCAAGATGCTCGATCTACTGGTATCTGCAAACATGGGCCTTTGGTGGCAAGCTTGGGAGAAGAGTTTTTAGGGAACTCGTGACCATCTAAACCAATTTTTGAGATACCTACATAATTTCTGGAGTTTTTGTTTTCGCTATTGTAAAGGTGGTGGTTTGCATGTTGGCTATTTACGTAGAGGGAGTTGCCGCGAGGATTGAGACGACATAACGATCATATGGAAACGGCTGAAATACCAAAACATAGCGATTGGATGATTTATAGATGAAATGATTTAATTACATTAATTTGCCTTATTAATATGCGATCATCATTGGTTCATGATGTTTGGTGACGATGAAGTTCAGTTGAGATTGATCACGTGAAAGGTCACGAGCGGCATTCCAGCCAATCAACAGCCTAGAGTTGTAATCCCGCTGAGCAACTTTCGTAGCCGAACACATCCATCACGTCAAATCCTCGCCTCCCGCCCAGCCCGTCCGCCTCAATTGACCCCGGGACGTCAAGTCAATTGACACTCCTTCGAATCTCCCCTCCTCCTCGATTATCCTCCTCGACACAATGGCTCACGCACTCATCGCGCGACGCCAGCTCGCCTCCGCTGCCACCAGCAGAGCTAGCATCCTCGGCCTGGTCCAACAGCGAAGCTACGCGACACCTCATGGACCACCTCCCGCCAACTTCCGAACGAGCAAGCCTGTGCAGTGGACCTGGGACAGGGACAGCACCCTCGATCGCATGGGAAAGTTTTTCCTCATGACTGAGATGGCGAGGGGAATGTATGTTCTGCTTGAGCAGTTCTTCCGACCACCGTATGTTATAAACAGCCTGGGTATTGAGGGAGTGGAATTGGACTGACGAGGGATTAGTTATACAATTTACTACCCCTTCGAGAAGGTATATGACGTCGAACGAAGCTACATACGCAAATAACTGACCCAGTTAGGGCCCTATTTCTCCTCGATTCCGTGGCGAGCATGCCCTTCGACGATACCCCTCCGGTGAAGAGCGATGCATTGCCTGCAAGCTTTGCGAGGCTGTACGACACCACATATCTCAAGTGGCAGCTAAGTTGCTGACATGAAATAACAGATTTGTCCCGCCCAGGCCATTACCATCGAGGCTGAGGAGCGAGCTGACGGATCCCGCCGAACAACCAAGTACGATATTGACATGACCAAGTGCATTTACTGCGGTTTCTGCCAGGAGTCCTGCCCCGTCGACGCTATCGTTGAGTCGCCCAACGCAGAGTACGCCACCGAGACCCGAGAGGAGCTTCTGTACAACAAGGGTGCGTACCCTACCACCTCCACAATCTACCAAGGTCGTCCTCCGAGATCATTACTAACAGTTCAACAGAGAAGCTTCTCTCCAACGGAGACAAGTGGGAGCCTGAGCTTGCAGCTGCTATCCGCGCCGACTCACCATACCGATAAACGATACGAAAAGGAAAGGGAGAAGAGGAAAGCATGGTTTTTATGTTGTTTTGTTTGTTGCCTCATGTCGTTTGAAACGTCACTATTGTAGGAACAGGATCATTTTTTTGGTGGAAAGGCGGCATAGGATACGATGAGGCTTCAGACGGAAGGGATGGGTGGGTGTACATAATCTAGATGTCCAAAATGCCCCTTTGTCATTCAATTGGCTGGTTATTGTGAAGCTGAAGATGGGAGAAGTCATGATAAAGAGGAGCAGTGTACAATCTGGGCATAGTGGTGAGGTCAGTTCTTTGGTGTTGTGATCACTAACGGGAGTTTCAGCACATCAACATCATAATCATGATTCATTCAACTAATTATATACAACGAAAGGCTCAGGCTAGGCTTATTTGGGAGCTGGGTATGCGCACTTCTTAACCTCAGGCTTGGTCTCAGCAGCCGCGAGAGCAACCTCAGTCAAGCCAGAAGCAACCTGCTTCATCCACATGTGGTACTGCTTCTCACTGGGATAGAAAGGACAAGCCGCCGAACCACTCTCCTCGCCAAACTCAATAGTGTAGCTCTGCAGCTTGCTCTTACCGCAAGCCTTGCCGTAGAATCGGCCAAGGGCGTAGTCAGTGCTGGCTCCGGAAGTGGGATACAGACCAACAGCCTCTTGCACGACGTACTTGGTAGTACCAGCGCTCTCCATGGACTTCTTCATGCTGTTTCCGACCTTCTTCTGGACGTTGATGTCCTTGGAGGTAATGTACTCCTTGTACTTAGTCTTGGGGGTCTCATCATCGCCGAGAACACCACGACGTCCGTCAAACTTCTTGTTCGCGAAACTCTCCTTGGGGTCTTTGGTCTGCGCATCATCATCACCCCATGCGTAGAGGATATCGCCGCCAAAAGAGTGCAGGTCGACGAACCAGCTTAGGCTCTTATACTTGTCCATGACCCAGACGACGTTCTTGGTCTCGGGCTCTGACTCGGGGCCAGTACCGTGGAAGACCTCACTGGTGGGATCCTCAGAGGCAACGGAGCTCAGATCAATGCCTGAGTTGAACGCCTTCTTGTAGTTGAACAAGAAGTCGTAGTTGCGGTTGATGTCGATACCAATGGCATCGGGGTTGCCCTTCGAGCTCTTGGGGTTGCGGTTCTTGCGCCAGCATGAGTTGGTGGATTGATCGTGCTTGACACCATCGGGGTTGATGATGGGAAGGACGACGATACCGCCATCAACAGCCTTGCGGACTTGGGCAGCAGTGAAAGTAGTCTTGCCATACTTAAGACCCTTACCCGCCTTGCGAGCGTGAAGAAGGTCAGACAGCCAGTAGACTACATGATCGGGGCCACCACGCTCACGCGCATGGGCACCGCTAATGATGAAGAACTTGGGGTTCTTTCCAATCTTTGCACCAAGGGTCTTCACACCCTCGTAGGTCTTGTAGGGAGGGCGAATGAGCTCAACCTCCTTGAAGTTCTTAGCAAGACCCTCAAGAGCGGAAGAGACCTCAGCGGGAGTGAGAATGGACTTGAGGTTGCGGTCTGAAGTGGAAAGGCCCTTGGGGACGATAGTGCCTTTCTTGAAGCGATCGCCCGTTCCAATGGGGAAATCGGGTTCCGGGCGGGTAGCCTGTCTAGCGGCGAGGACTGCAGCGCGCTCCGAATGGGGGACTGAGTCGGAGGGGATAAGACAGGCAGAAGCCGAAAGAGCGTAGGCTAAAAGTTGAAGCTTCATTATTGGAACCCGTTGTAAAGAAATGACTACCAGTGAAGGATGGGGAGTGAATGAAGTCCCAATAATGGGAGAGAAGAGGGTTATATTTAAGCTTAAGCTTAAGACAATCGATCAACGAGACATTGAATCTCCCGTACGACGTTGGGATTCTTGGCCCTGTGAATCAACTGGATTCCAGTGGCTCTCCTTCCTATCTCAGCCAGCTTCCCGTAAACAAAGTCCCCCTGGGGGCACGGGCAGACTGTTTGTGGTAGGTGAAGCGATAGATAACATGCAGCAAGGGGCCATGATTGGATGAGTACAAGGAACGTTTGTAAACGGTCTTTTGGTGATTACAATCTGACCTGGGGAACATAGACAAGGGACATTCATGCTGAGTCGGTAGTTGGTGCTCATTGGGGGAATTGGAAGCTTGGCCCTGGAATGGAGAGATGAGGTTCAGGGTAGGGGGTGTAAGATTGCTGGTCTGACGGTATGGGCTTATCTGTAGGACATGGAGAAGTTGGTAAGACTGAAAGCTATCTTTGATCTATCAAGCATTGAATCAACATTTTAATTTGTCAATTGACAAATGAGAATGGGCAAACTCGTGAGTATTTTTGTCTAACATTTGGTATTGTTCATGCGAGTTGCCTCCCCAGATCGAAAGAGACCAATGGGGACAAGTTCGATTATGCTGACTAGACTACAACCAGCGTTTCAATCAATAAACACCATAAGCCTTACAGAGTACATCTCATAAATTGACTTTCACCTCAATTCCACTTCCTCATAAGTTATCATTACAACCAAGTTCTCAATGCCTTTCCTCTTCCTCGGCCGCATCACCCAATCACGCCTCCGCCCTCGCTGACGTATACCGGATCGTTCCCCCGGCCTGATCACGTGACCACGCCCAAACCGAGCTTAGCTTAGCTTTCTCCATCGGAACAGACCAGTCAACCCGGGTAGCAACGAGAAATTTATCATCACCTTCAACCTCATCATCCAAACTCCACCACCGCCCACCGACGTCAATTGACCCTTTCCTCCTCGACACCCGGGAAAAGAGAAAATACAACCAAAATGTTCCGATCAGCAGTCCTCCGATCCGTCCGCGTCGCCGCCCGTCCCGCCATGCGCTCATTCGCCGTGGCGCCCCGCGTCGCTACCGCTGCCGTCCCCAAGATCCAGAGCTTCCAGGCCGTGCGGTTCTACAGCGCTGGCGGTGCGCTCAACAAGGAGGAGGTCGAGGGCCGAATTATGAGCTTGTTGAAGGGCTTCGACAAGGTGAGAAATCATCTCCGAGATGGCAATGGATTCACCGAGGGAATCCCCCTCCAAATTGCCGATCTGATAAACCAGTAGCTAACGATAGTCTTAGGTCAACGATGTCTCCAACGTACGTCTCGATAATCAACATATTCGAATATTTACCTAACCATTCGCAGATCGGTACCAGCGCTCACTTCGCCAACGACCTCGGTCTCGACTCTCTCGACACCGTTGAGGTCGTCATGGCCATTGAGGAGGAATTCAGCATTGAGATCCCCGACAAGGATGCCGACTCCATCCACTCCGGTATATCTAGCCTCCCCCCCCTTGAGCTCCAGAACAGCATACTAACAACCCCCCAGTCCAACAGGCTGTTGAGTACATCCTGAACCAGCCCGACGCCAACTAAACGTATATCTCCCAAACCGCCACCCCTCTTTTCCTCCTCATTGTACAATTACCACTCTCATGACCACCGAAATCCTTCCTCGGCAAGGATTTAAAAGACGCCGATAAAAAAGCCAGCGGGGGATATTGAAATGGGGTGGTGGTGGAAGGAAAGATATAACAACGCAATATAACGCATCAAGTTCTTTTTTAATCTCGGCGCACCATGAGACGGTTCATTGTTTTCCAGACGGTTGTGGAGGAGGGAGCCACAGGAGGAGAGCTGAAGAGATGTTTGAATGAAAGAATTGGCGACGAGTTTTCGGCTTGAAGTGTATGCTTGACGTCCTCCTTCACTGCTCGAAGGAATGCCACGATTGGCTGTTCCCCGGTTTTCATACTGTAAAGCAGTGAATACGGCGAATGGGATACATTGAGTTCGCTGAGTTGATGAAGGGTAGAAGGTGGAATCTCTACTCTGTGGCTTTGTATAGTGTATAGAAACACCCAATTTCTCTACCTACGTTCTCTGACTGCTCCGTGTAGAGCTCACATAGCCGCTATCCCCGATATCACATCCCCACCAGAGAGTATGACTAGTACGCAGGCCTCATTATCATGTAAAGACCCCAAGATCTGCCACGAATTCAACATTACATCACCGCAAATGGCTAGGTACGAAGTAAATCCAGTGCCAACAGGCCCGGTGAACACGTAATGTCCATTATGCATCCTCCCATACATGCAACTATTTTCATACATGATTTGCCTCGATATATCTAACGAGGTCTTGACCCCCATTTGCGATTGTTTTTGTAGATCCGAACCTCCCCAAAACACCATGCCCAAGATGACGATACCAAGCGGAGAGAGCCAATTGTGTGCATCGAGCATACAAGTCAGCCTTGCTTGTTACCCTCATCAAGCCTAAAAACTGAGTGGGCAGAAATCAGATTCCATCCGCCTTCCAAAGCAGCTCATGATATGATAGCGATTATCAAGCAATATATGAAAACAGAAAATGTCAAAACTCCTGGCCGTGTATCCTATATCCTTTTTGATCTTGGCCATAACAAATTGCCATGCATCCTCATATTTTTCTTTCGTCCGTTCCACTCAAGCGTAAAGCTTGTTGGCGAAATGCAGTATGTCGTAGCGACTGCGGTGTTGTCCGCTCAAGATCATGGCTCATCAACTCATCACCTCCTTTTTTTTGTCTAAGCTACCAACTCCGACGCTTGACTGATAAAACTGAAACCAGTTGTTCAAAGACGCTATCCTCCGCCTTCGGCCTGGTTGTTTATCGGCCGCTGACAGGAACTCCCTTTGTTCCATTGGTGGAAGGCTTGCCGGCGACAGCACCAGCATAGCTGCTCCAGACATTGGCCAAGCCGGCTGAGGTCCTCTTAGGTGACTTGATGGAAGGCTCACCGTCTTCCTCCATGCCCTCCATGTGGAACATCTCGTCGTCTTCGTTGATCGGCGTAGTGAATCGGCCATTCATAGATGAGCTGATGCTACCGCTTGACACATGACGTTCCATGCCACCACGCTCACGCTCTTTGCCAATAGGACTGATGGGGCTAATGGCACTAGCGGTAGTACCAGCTCGAGCGGCCGCAGGGTGGAGAAG